TTCTAAGTACCCTAATTGGGGTTATACTTGTAGTTACCTTACTTATAACCCCTAGTTACTAAGTCCCATGATCCTCCAAGTAGGGCCTTTTACAGGCTTTGTACCATTACGGATTCGGGTTCAGGGCTTAGGGCTTGCTACGATTAAACCCTAAACCCTAAACCCTAAACGCTAAACCCCTTAACCCTAAAGTGCAGGTTTTGTTCGGGGTTGACATGACGGATTGTAGTGGGTTTGAGATGGCTGATACTGTAGAGGGGAGTGCCCCAATCCCGAGGCACCAGCAAAACAAGGAACGAAGCACGCGCAGCATTATCAACCCAAGCAATACTTCACAACCTAAGCAATGAGAGTGCCAGGGCTGTATGGGTTTTACACGGCCCCTCTGCGATTTCGAGCATTTTGCTTTGTAGGCAGAACGAGCATGACAAGCAAGAACTCCAAGCCTCTGCCTGTTCGTCGGCTCCTTCTTCTGTTGCCTTCGGCTTCCGGCGTGCAGTCGGGGAACCTGCCAAACGATGGCACCGGCAGAGGGTTGGCGTTTCGGCCTGGGGTGGAAGCTTCAGGACTCAGGCCTGGATTCAGAGCTAAACCCCTTTTTGGGTAGTTTTCTAAATTAGGGTCCCTTTTGTGGTCCTTTTTATAAGGGTGCCGTAGTATATTGGGGACCTAAAAGGGGACCTAAAAAGGGACCCTAATTAGAGATCTACCCTTTTTCACGCCCTTCAACCCGCAAGACCTCAAGCTCCGAGAGCCCACACCTGGGCCTGGGGGTGGGGCTTGCCTGGTCAGTTCCGGGTTGAGCTTTGGGCGCAAGCTTGGAATGAGAAGCGGCAGGACGAGCCAGCCCGAATCGAACGTCCCAGTACCAGACAGAACCTGCGATTGACAGGAACACAAAACACAGAACAGAACAGCTTAACATTCGATCAATCTGTTCATAAACCAAAACGTCTTAGACCTCTCACCTGCCTTCTCTGTCGCAACTCTCCATGTATAGCTTTTCTATGCTCTGCTAATCGAGAAGAAAATGTGGGTTCAGGGTTTGGGATTTCGAGGTTTTGGGGTTCAATGTTTAGGGGTTTCGGGGTCTTCCTTTTTTGCGGGATACCTTATAAATTCCTTACTATAAAACTGGCTAAACCCAAAAAAAGGAGCTACAATGGAGACCATAGGTAGGCCTGCGCACCCTACCCCTAAACCCTGAACCCTGAACCCTAAACCCTAAACCCTAAACCCTAAACCCTATTCCTAGAGCTGAGCTTCACGCGATGTCGCGGCAGCTTTGGCGCAAGCGACGCAAACCCACACCCGCTCGGAATCCGAAGCCAGGCCTTCAGTGGCGAGAAGCGATAGAGTTTAGGGTTTAGGGTTTAGGGTTTAGGGTTTAGGGTTTAGGGTTTAGGGTTTAGGGTTTAGGGTTTAGGGTTTAGGGTTTAGGGTTTAGGGCTTGCGGTTTACTTGGAGGATCATGTGACTTAGTAAGTAGGGTTATAAGTACCCTAGTTGGGGTTATAATTATAGTTACCTTATTTATAACCCTAGTTACTAAGTCCCATGATCCTCCAAGTAGGGTTTAGGGTTTAGGGTTCAGGGTTTCAGTGGCGAGAAGCGATACTTCACAACCTTAACTCGACAGCCTCACGGTGAGTGCGGTAAAGTGTGGCTGGAGTGCTACGCTCCCTCGCATGCCCGGAACGGTCGCAAGGCACCACGTTCAACTGCGCAAGGCCCCCCGACTTTCAGACGCAAGAGTCTCAGAGCTGCCATCGCACGCATGGCCGCGATCAACTCTACTCGAGGCTGGAATGTAATAAAAGGGGCCTGACGGATCATGCTAGAATAGGGTTTCGGGTAGCTGAATTCAGGACCCTCTAATCTATTGTGCAGTACGGGACCTGCAGACTTCTTGCACGGAGGGTGAAAGGGGGCGAGCCGGCTGCATCCTTCTCTCCGATAACTCAGACGAAAACCTGCTCAAATTGCATCACCCTACAGGCCCCCCTAAACCCTAAACCCTAAACCCTAAACCCCAAACCCTAAACCCTCAACCCTAGCGCCTTCACGTGAGCTACGACCAACCTCATGGAGTCGGTTTTTGAATGTGTTGTACAGTGCCAGCTTTGTGGCAGCACCTCCGCTTTCCAGCTTGTGGGCTGCAGAAAGACAGCGCAGCATGAACTTTACGAGACCTGCCGGTTTAGGGCTTAGGGTTTAGGGTTTAGGGTTTAGGGGTTTAGGGGTTTAGGCCGCTAATGAATACAACAGTAAAAAAATTCGGAACCATGTGCGTGCAAGAGGAAAGCTCTTGATTGGGGCATTACAGTAAGGTTCTGGCGGTTGATGAACTTCAATCTAACCAGTTAGCTGGGATCGAGTCTGTGGAGTTCGGGAGGCCGAAGGACAGCCCGACAATGGAATGAGGCCATGACAGAAAGACTCGCCGACTTCACTACCCAGGCACCAACAAGGTGGTACCCCGTAGGTCTCATGGATTGAAGGCTGGGGCTTAGTGCGTCTCCCAGCCCTAAACGGCGATGAGGTGCAGGGATCTTCGAGTTGGCTTACACTTGGCTCAGCACTAAGCTCCTTTTCCTCTGTGCTAAGCATGGCATAGCAGCCTTCCGATTCTTGCCAACTGTTGTGATTATTACATCTCGCACTGGGCACTTTCAGATTAATTTAGAGCCAAAATAAGCTGTAAGCAGGCGAGGCCACAGTTTGTTTCATCGCGGTGCCAAGCAGGTCGGTGGACGGCGAGTCTCAGGAAAGTTCGACCTGCATCTGCAAGCATCTTCTGCACAAGCGGAAACCCCATCGGCTGTGCTTCAATTGAGGAGTGTGTGCTACGGGTGCTGATGCGCTGCTGCCGCCGGCACCACTGCCACAGCCACGACGATGACGACGACTACTACTCCTGGTGCTGCTGCTACTCCTCTTGGTGCTATCTCTACTGCTGGTTTTACTGCCGAAGATTGCATCCTGCAGTACCCTATGCACTCCAAACTTTGACAATCACGGTATAGCCCTTCTGGTGGAACATGCACTCTGGCGTTTGCTGAGACTGCCGCTGCTCGGCTTCCTGGCAAGAAGCAAAATCAGTGCGGTCTGTAGGAGGACCTTGACGCAATCACATTACTCGCTCATGGGTAAACAGGCATCTTGCAACGGCTCCAGCTGAATACTCGCAAAGCACATCTGCCCTTTTTTGCTACCGCGAAGTGTTCTTGGGTGCTGCCACATTTAAAAAAAAACAATGGTTTCGCCACAATCCGCTACATCAGGCAGCTTTGAAAAAGCAGCAGGCCAAGCCCAGAGCAGTTGACCTCTGCGCTTTTACAAGGCTATCCAACTTCCAGCCCGTATCTGCTTCAAACTCAAACTCACCGTTTACAGTGAACCTCGCCATCTGACCCACAGGGTCAACGCGCAGGCCTTTCAAATTTCGAGGCATGGAGACATCCAGCTGCACCTGGCCGCCTTCCTGGTTGATGCGATGAACCTTCCAGCTACCGCCCAACAGGAACGAGCCCTTCCTCGACAAGTCGGACAAGTCGGGTCCGGGGCCGCGATCTTCTAGATCTGAGACAGATCCACAAGTCGACGCACAGGTGATGTGGCCGCTGCATAGTGCCAGGGAGGCATATCCAGCACCTGAACGGAAGCTGCTGGGCGCAACAAAGTCGATGTGCTCTCTGTCACGATCCCACTGAAGCAGGTGTAGCAGTGAGCGTGGTTTCTCCAAAGTGTCACCAATCTCTGGCACGGCGTCGGTGATGGCAACCGCCAAGGCGGCACCCGGAGACAAGTTGGCCAAGAACATGTCCACTCGTACGTGTAACCGGAAGTGCCGGGCTTCCCCCGCGCCACGCAGCAGCTTGAACTCGTCCGTGCACCAAGGGTAGTCGGTCTCCAGTGCTTCGGTCAAGTTGCCGAGCAAGGCAGCGGCAGTCATGGCCGTCGAAGCTGCCACACCGCACTTCTCCTGCGGCCTATTCAAGCTACACATCCGCTTTGCCAGGCCAGCAGCCGACAAGGAGCGCTGCACTCCGGGTGCGCTCGTCTCACGAAGTCTCCAACTGGTGCAGAGGGTGCCGACACTGTCAACCTGCTCACTGAGCAGCTGCAAGGCAGCGAGGTCTTCAAAGTTCTCCAGCTCCATTCCGAAAGACTCTTTGTAAAAGCTCTTGCGCTGGCCCTCGTCTTGCAGTTCGTGTTTCCGCTGCATGGATTGAACTCGAATGCAGTCGCCCAACCTTGCACCCAGAAGCAGAACATTGGGCAAGCCAACATAGTCTGCAATGTTGGACGTGTCGACCACGGAAGCTCGTTCAGCACGCACGCCAAATGCATCTCCTCCAACCAGGCGGATCCGAACGCGTCCCGAGGCCAGCGCGGACTTGCAGTGGGCACAGAGCAGCTGAAGTCGCTCAAGCAAGCTAGGCTGGAGCTGCCCGGGAGCCGCTGTCAGGGGCCCCACCGCACGGAAGATGGAGGACGAAAAGCAGAGGCTGGGGCGAAGGGCACAGCCTTCGAGAAGAGTCACATTCGCTTCGGCGGGGCTGGGATGAAGGGCAAAGTCCTCACAGCCAAACAGAGGATTGAATTGATTTCAGACTAGCAGTAGTTAGAGCATATGTAACTTCAAGAACGAAGCTGAAGTTGACAGTGTCTCAGCGACAAGGCTACACGCATTGCTAGATGGGATTTGCAAACGCTTCACGACCATGTTGTGGTGCTTCCTCTGACGGTCCTTCAAGTAGCGCCTAATCTCCGCGCGATGCTCTTCGCCCACAGCTTGGCAGGAGAGTTTCAACGCTTCCTCGAGGAGCTGAGGACCACGGTTGAGAGATGCCAGCAGCGCATCCGGACCCACAGTCGCATCGCTCCAAGCTCTTGTGATGTCATCCCACTGCGGCACGCTCAAGGTTGCTAACCACGGCGCAGACTTGACGGTGCTCAGCGCCGTCATCATTGCATCTTTTGCATCTCGGCTAATGCAGCCCGCGCCCCAGCACTCGGCTACGGTGCTTGCCGGGGCATCCATGGAAATGAGATTCAGCAGCATGGCATCACGAATCAGTACTGAGCCGGACACATCATTGAGCAGCAGATCCAAAGTACTCTCGTCCTGTCGGCGCTGCCACCATCCGCTGATGGTTTCCAGCACGTTACGGATGTCTCCGCAACCCAGAAAGATTGCTCGATCCGAAGAAGGCTTGGAAGACATGGAAGGCTGACCATGCAAGACATCCACTCCAAAAGTGTTCCCCACGGCATAGTACCCCGGATCCAAATTGATCACTTGTTGTCGAACTGGGCTTGCAGTAAGGTGGCCTTCGGAATCCTGTGTATCTGGCAAACGGCAAACGAGGCCGCGAAGCTCCGACTCGTTCTGCAAGTCGGACAAGCTCGGGGGCGCTGCCCCCTTTGGCAGTTTCTTCTGTTCAACAACTCGCACAGGCTTACTCCACATCCGCACTGGGGCGTGTTGTTCCTGCCTTGTCTCTTGAATATCCACATGATTTCGGCAGAAACTGCACCGGTGGACCAAGATATCGCCGTCGAAGTTGTAGTCCACATTGACTCCAACGGTGCCATCGGCAAAAGCGCAGCAGTCCACATTCGCGGTTGCTCCGCCTCTGAGGTGCACAGCTGAGCCGGCGCCACTTTTCGGACCCAGGTCTGCAACAAGCTTCTTCATCGCAGCATCTGACATCTGCACACCATACAAAGCCCTCAGCTGAGGCCCAAGCTCCTTCTCCATCATCTCGCTGCTGGCCCGCGTGTGCACCAAGAGGCATGCTACCAGCTCTGCATGCACACCATCGCCACAGGCGACTGCATGCCATCCCGTCTCTCTGAAGACACTGCCGTGGAGCCTCGCGCTGAGCGGAAGAGCGGAGGACTTGTCTCTGCGAAGTCTGTCTTTGCTCTCCTTGGACACCTGCTTCATGTTCTGCAAGGTATCACGCTGGCTGCCCGCTGTCCTTGCAAGCTCGGCCTTCTGTCGACCATCAACGCTTCTTTCGTCCACAGCCCGGGCTGATGCCGCTGGGCGCGCACCATCCAGCATGACAGCCTCCTTCTTTGTGCGAACAAACTCACAAGCGCTGAGTTGGACAGTGCCCGTCTTTGCCATCACAGAAACACCTCGGAAGCAGTCATAGAAGCGGCAGTTGTGCACCTCCAACGCGCCAGCCTCGCGCATCTCGACCGCCTTGTTGGTCATGCTACGAAACTCGCAGTCCCGCGCCTCAAGCCGAGCTCGAACTATGGTGACGCCACCAGCTCCTGTGAGCACACAGCGCCGCAAGTGAAGGGAGGACTGATCATCACCTGCACTGACAAAGCCCATCAGTGGATCACGGCTGCCCTCTTCCAGGAAAAACCCATCCATGGTCAGGGAACCACCCTCGTCAGCAAGAGCAAGATTTGCGTCCGGGCGGCCTTTAGTCAATGTGACCTGGCCCAGCCCAAGCAGCTTCACTCGCCGCCCAATGGCGAGCACTGGAGAAGCTCTCATGCTGTATCGCCCCGGGCAGAACACGGCCACGAGAGGGTCTCTTTTCTGCTCCTTGGCAAGCTCCTGAACCAATAGCTGAAAATCCGCGTCCGTCTTGAGAAGGCGATATGCAGCGGGCGGCTGGAGCAGCGGCTGTACCTCGGGATGCTTGGGGCCAAGCAATGCCGCTGCGGCCTCCAAGTGGCTCTCCTCTCTGGACAGGACGAAGGCACGCAGCTGGCACAAGCCATGCTCGGGGTTGAGGTCCAAGCACCTGAGTGCATGCTGCAGGGCAGCGTCCTCGTCACCCAATGCCTTGCAGCACACGGACAAGTTGTTCTGCAGCTTCGCCTCCTCAGACGGCTCTTTGCTGTCAGCCTGGGCAACCAAAGCCTCGTAGGCCGCACGAGCGGACTTTAGGTTGCCTGCCCGGTAGAGCACATTGGCACCCTCACGTGTCAGGACGTCCGTCGCTTCCATGCTTGCCGAAGTGTCTAGCAAAGTATCACAGGAGGCTGGTGGTGTGTATATGTGTGTGCAGTTTAGGAAAGCTTGGCGTGGCATTGAGACGATCTTGCTTGTATGGGAAGCTACCTGAGCCAATTCCCATAAAATGCCTGGTGCTTACCACCGCTGTAGCTCTCTCACTTTGGTGGCCCACGGGATAAGCGTGCACAAAGCTTGCAAAGACTGCTAAAACGAGACGAAGTATGATGATAACATCCAGGGAGATGCAACCGAATAACATAAGAAAGCTAGGAGGTTCGCAACACTCTTTTCCTGCACTGACAGCCTGCAGCAAAAGCAGTGAAGGCCCTGTAACCATGATGGATTGGTACCGTTTCGAGGCCTCGCAAGCTCCGGTGTATTTAGCTTGGAGGATCATGGGACTTAGTAACTGGGGTTATAAATAAGGTAACTATAATTATAACCCCGATTAGGGTACTTAGAACCTTACTTACTAAGTCCCATGATCCTCCAAGAGGGTTTAGGGTTTAGGGCTTTGCCCTAAACCCCGCAAAAAGAGAGGAAACCCACAGCCGAGCGCCTCGTTGCTCGACTCCCTCGGGTTCTGAGCCGAGAAACCTTGGGAGCTGTCGGATCTACGGGCTCTTCGGGTTTTAGGGTTTAGGGTGGACTCTCTCACAGACTCTCTAACCGAGGGCCTAGAAACCGAACATGGCAGAGTTCGGGGGGCAAAAAACTGACTCTAAACCCTGCCTGAGGCAGCATGAGAGACATGAACAGCTACAGTAGCAACGAGAATACTCATTATCTAAAAACTGCTGACAAAGTGAATGCCAACAACCACCACCACCACCACCGCCACACATCCACCACCATCGCCATGACATCCACCACCATCACCACCAACAACAACAACAGGACGAAGAAGAAGAAGAAGAACAACAGCAGCAGCAACAACAACAACAACAACAACAACCGCCGTCGCCACCACGACGACGACGACGACGGACGGCGCACGATGACGACGACGACTACGACTACGACGACGACGACGACGGCAACAGCAAATGACAGCAAAGAATATGTACTAAAACCACGACTACAACCATCACCGCACCACGTCGACAGCAACACTAACAGCAACAATAACGACAACAATGGCAACTACAACAACGACTGCAGTCGTCGCACTACTTGTACCAAAACTATAATTAGCAATGGTAATAGGTACAGTTTGTAGACATAGCTACAGCTGTAGCACTAGAAATAGCAGAAAAAAACATTAACAGCAACAGCCAAAGGAACTAGTCATAGCACTATAGTTGGAACGGTAATCGTTAATAGTAGTGGCAATGGTCATGGCAGTGGCAATAGTAATACTAATAGCAGTAGTCGTAGCAGAAGAACAGGAATGGCGACAGGAGTAGGAATAGGAGTAGGAGCAGTACTAGTACTGCTAGTTGAGAAAACTATAATAGCACTGCAGCAGTAACAGTACGAAAAAGTAGCAGGAATAGCAAAGACAATAGCAGTAGCAACAGCAATAGTAACAGTAATATAAATAATAGTTCCACTAGCAATATCACGGTAGTAGTAATAGTAATAGCAACAGTAGTAGCAGCTCCAAAAATGCTGGTGCGAGTACCCTGTGCTAGTTGTTGAATTGTGAAGGTAGCGATGGTACTCGGAACAGCAACCATAAAAATTGCAATGACAACGACAAAGAAAATCTGCACAGCACTAGAACCAATTGTGGTCCAGGCTGCTTCGAGTTCAGTCTGCAGCTGCAGCAGCTGCAAAACTGCCTTCCAGGGACACGAGGAAGATGTTGAGGCATCTGGTCAAGGGATTTGAAGCTTCAGATCAAGCTTACTCTGGTCAGCGCAGAAGACTCCCCTGGAATCCTACGGGTCAAGCTTTTTGCCTGCGGCTGAATCGCAGCTACGTCGGAGGTTTCTGGAGGACAATCATGGCCGAAGCGCTGGCAAAGTCTGCACGGAAAACCCGGCCATTTTAAACGGCCCCGATCTTGCCGCACAGATTCAGATACCCTGTTCGGCTTGGATGCTGTCCGGCACTGGCATCATTTGTGAAAGTCAAGACCATGCATGTAATTCCCCAAACAATGAGCTAGGACTACGGAGTTCTTACATTCAATATAGTATAGTACATTATAGGCATCACTGTATATTATTATATAGTATAGACAGTGTAGCATATCATAGAATTTACGGAGTTGTTACATTCAAAAGTAAAGCGAATTAATTGGTGCAGGCACGCGAGGCGTTCCTACTCGTCCCCGCGTTTTCGACTAAAACCGCGTTTCGCGCCACCAGAAACGCCGAAGCCATTGTGAATTGCTGTACTTTGGAGCTAAGGAAACTCGATGAATGGCTCTCCCGCCACAGTGCAGGGCGAACGAGTATTTGAGGGGTGTTTTCGTGTAGAAATCGTGCGAAGTTTTGCCTTCAAACCGCTGGAAGTTGCTAAAGTCCTCGCAGAGCCACTCTATGAGGCTTACTGGAAGTTCTTTGTAGCGCTGCTCGGTGTGGTCTCGCCGTTCTCCGGGCAGGGCTTTTGCGACACTCAAAGTCATGCTCCCGCCATTGCCGCCGGCATTCTGGCATGCAATGTCTTCCCACCAGTCCTGCGCATGTCGGCCAGCCAACAAAATGAGTGCTGGGCACAGCTTGGCTGCGACTCATGATCGAGCTACGGCCTCAGTTCTGCGCCTATTTTGGTATGCGAGGTGCCTGTTCTACAGTGTGGTTGACATTCTGGGCTCTTGGGAGCATACGGGTGCTCCTGAAATGGCAATTGTTGAGTATGTAAGGTTGTAAAATACAAGTCAAATAAAATCATGGTCCCAACAACATGTCTTAAAAACTACCGAACAAAAACACAAAATACAGCGATGAGCCAAGATCGCTAGAGCGAAGGAGTATTCAAGAAAAAAGATTGACATGTGCTAGCAGCACCGACTGTTGCATGTGTCCTCGCCACTCCATCAAGAGGCTTATGCGCCTGCCCTGTGTGAACCTGCTCTGCCCTGCCCTGCTCTCTGTTCTGCACTGCCCTGCCCTGCCCTGCCCCACCTGTGTCCCAGTCTTGCGCTCCCCTCTCTGTGGAGCGGCCACGCGCCCTCGCCTCCGCAATCTTTTTTTGTTCACTCTTTTTCGCTTTTGTTCACTGTGTTTCGTTTTTTTTTGCTTTTGCCGTGCGAGGAAAGGAAGGGCAGGGCTGGGGCTGGGGGTTGTCTGTGTCTTTCGGAAATTTTCGGATTTAGGCTTTTTTCGGATCACATTCGGTATGTTGCTTCCTTTCGGAGTTCTGGTTTTCGGATGCAAATTTTCACTGCTAGCAATGTGCGTTCTTTCGTTTTCTTTTCGGATTTGACTGCATCCATGATTTTACCGGGATCGCATTTCATAAATGTAGGGATCGGAACGCAGGTGCTCTTTCACTGTTCGGGGTCTATGCTGGTATAAAGCAGAGCTTGTAGAAGTGCCCTAAACCCTAAACCCTAAGCCCTAAACCCTAAACCCTAAACCCTAAACCCCTAACCCTAAACCCTAAACCAGCTCTGGATGGCTCGAGCAAATCCTGGACAGCTCGCGACAAAAGCAAGGCTTCAGATGCCAGCTGCCGCTATGTAGGGGCCTTGATAATTAGAATAGGGTTTCCCGCGCCCATTATACTATAACTGAAATAATGAGCCCCTAACATACTATAGGTAATTATCAAGGCCCCTAATGTATCAGAGCTGAAGTTTCGTGGCTTTGGCAGAGGCAAGGTTCAGCACGGCGAGGCCCATGGCGTCTGCCAAGAATCCGTGCTCTGCTGACTCATCAACCTCTGCATCATCCCTCGAGGACAAAGCCTCCATCCAAGCTGCCACTACTACGGCGCACAGGTCGGCGGTGACGATCAGAAAAGTGCTGACCATCATCAAAATGCGCTGGACCACGCGGTAAAGTCTCTCATCATCCTCGAAGGAGTCCCGCATTTGGGAGACGGCCTGGGTGATGTTGTTGATCCCAGCTGTAAGGAGCGTCTTGTTGCCCTCATAGTCCGTGCTCGACAATACGATGCTACCATAAGATGAGCCAGAGGTGCATGCTTCCAGTGCAACTGTCTCCATGTCAATCAAGGCATCGTTCGCAGCTGATGTCCTCGCAGCAAACTCCGAGCTCAATTCTGGGGAGGCAATGGCCAGACCTTCCAAAGCTGAATCCATCGGGGCGATGAACTCATCGTACTTCTCGGCCCAGCTCTCATCCAGCGACAGGGCACAGATGCGTGCGCTGGAGGTCAAGGCCACATCATAAAATGCCGTGTCCTTGGCATGCCAAATGAGCTGCTGCAAGGGGTCTGCGAGCTGTGCCTTATAAAGAGACACCAAGGTAAGAGCCGCGGGGATGGCGAAGCCGGTGAGTGCCGAGAGCTGTGCGCACGCCGCAAGGTAGGAGAGCCTTTGCTTCAGGGTCGTCGGGCCTTTGAGCCACGGATCTCCGGACTTGAAAGGACGTCTCAAGGTCGGCTTAGAGCACGGCCCTTGTACCGTGACCACGACATCTTCGGCTCTCTTCAGCAAGCGCTGCCGCACCTGCTGGCCATACACCGCTTGTGCATCATCCGCTTCCTTGCTGAGCTTCTGAAGGCTTCGATCCAGATGCCGCATGGGCACAATCATAATACATTTGCCTGGGTTGGCCCCTCAAAGCCTCTGAAAAATAGTCGTAAATAAGATCCTCTTAAGCCCAATAAGGGAAAAGATAAAAAATGTCCCAAAGGCCTACCTAGTTACTGACTAAGGCAACGATCACCAAGGAGAGGCTGAAGATGCTCCACCAGGACTGCACCTGCTGGTAGCCGCTACGCGTCTCTAGGATCATTCGGTTCATGGACTCGACGCCTTGGAGCAGAAGCGCTTTGTCGGTCTCGTAGGCGCTGCTGAAGATCACGGCCGCAGCAAGGGTGGTGTTGGTTTTGGACAGCTCGATGGCCTTCCTTTCCAGAGCCGCTAGCCGTTCGTTCGCCACCGCTGTCGTACGCATGAACTCTTTGGCAATGTCAGGCGCTCGTCGCTCGATGGTGGACATGATGCTCAACAGAGGCTGCACGTTCAGGAAGTACTCATCACGCCAGCGCAAGTCTCCTGACAGTGCCAGCATTCGGGCAGAAGATGTCAAGATGAGATCCTGTAATAGGACGTCCTTTCCAAGAGACGACAGCTCAGTGACTCTGAGCAATGCCTCGGAGCGAGTTTCCGAGATCCACTGCACGGAAAACAGCGACATCAGCGCAACTAGGCCGATGAGCTTCATGAAGACCGTCCAGCGGAAGTGCAGCTTTGCATACCTTCCCACACGATCTCTGGCCTCCTCCTTCGCGAACATGAGCTCAGCGATGCCCGCATCTTCCTTGCTCCAAACAGGCCTTGCCTCCTCTGGCACGGGACTTGTGAACGCCATGCCATCCACCCAAAAAGCAAAATGGACCCTTGTAGGCCTGAAGCCCCTAATTGTACAAGTGGGGGGGGGGTTTAGGGCATATAGGGCTTCTAGAAGGCTTCTGTAATAAGGCTCCAATAACGGCAACTACCCACCAGAAAATTTCCTAGTCCAAGGTTGGAATTCTCCCTGGTCAGAATGGAAGATGAGGTCGAGGCAACTTGTGGGAAAGCCTCCGAAACGGCATCACAATATAGCTTGGCAAGAGCCGTGCTATCAGTAGGGCGGAAGTAAGCTGCATATAGCTGGGCCTCTCAGGCTTTCATATGCTTTGATGAATGCACGTACGAGCCAGCGCTGCGATTGCCCGGCGGCCAGGTATGCACAGCAATCGAAACGTCATGTTCTAATATATATATATATATGTATATATATATATATATATATGCATACATGATGCTGGGCTTAAGTTGTATGGAGGCGAGCTCACCTGCATCAGATAAAGCTCAAGGCCAAAACGGCAACCTCCCCAAATCCCAAACCGTGAACCACTTGATCCCAACCCTTCCAACCCATATCACCCCCTTATAGTACCCTTAGAGGAGCCCTTGCAGGACCCTGCGGTGGATGACGAAACTAGCACGCACGTGCACGTTCAGATGTATCCAAAGCTGGAAAAGTCTGGGATCCGATGGTGGCAGAGCATTGGCCCTGCTATGCAACAGAAGAAACGTGCAGACAAACACAGGAACAACCACAGCCGAAGCTGTCCGCCCCGCACACCTGCAGGCAAGCGTGATCATGACAGTCGTCATCGTCATCATCGTCACTGTCGTCATCATCATCATCATCATCATCATCATCTGGATCACCGCCTGCCGCATCATCACCATCATCGCCAGAAACAGCAGCAGACAGTCATATCTTCATCACCATCACCACGATCACGAGGGGACAACGACAACGGCCGCTGAGACTATCCCAGCCCACACTGCAATGGCTCCAACTGCTACTGCTACTCCTGGTCCTTGTCACTCCCTTTTTTTGCTCCTCTAACTCTGTAACTGGTACCGCAACGGCTCCTGCTGCCACCTCCTCCTCCTCCCACAGACCCCAGCCAAAAAGCCGCACAATCCCTGTACTTGGAGGATCATGGGACTTAGTAACTGGGGTTATAAATAAGGTAACTATAATTATAAACCCCAATTAGGGTACTTAACCTTACTTACTAAACCCTAAACCCTAAACCCTAAACCCTAAACCCTTACTTACTTACTAAGTCCCATGATCCTCCAAATATCTGAAACTTGGCAACCGCAACCGGGGGCCTCGCTGTCCATGTGAAGCAGCAGCTGCCGACCACAAGCCTTTTATGATATGTGTAGGGTTTAGGGTTTAGGGTTTAGGGTTATGTAGAAGCCTTAATAATTAGAATAGGGTTTTGGGGGTTCCTTACTATAGTTCTAGTATAATATACCCCCATGACCACAAGCCCCTAAGTCTAAGGTTGAAACCATGGGCCCCTAGTATGGGCACTTAACCCTGGGATCCTTATACACCTACTACATACTCTACATGTACCCTTAAGGGTCCCGAGAAAGGCCTAGGGGACCAAATTAGGGGCCCATACTTCCAACCTTAGACTAAGGTGCGTCTGAAAGAAACCCATCACGAAGGCAACTCGAACTGCTCTTGGACCGAGTCTCTGTCGTCTCAAAAAACACGCCGGTGAGGCCTTAACCAGATGTTCTGTGCACTTAAGGGCTAAGCGGTTCTTGGGCAGAAAATTTCAGGCTTTGGATTGAGGGTCGGGCATTTTAGGACTGATGGTTTAGGGTTTAGGGTGCCGCGACATCTTGCAAATCAGATTGCACAGTTCGACAACGTAGGGAAAGGGTTTGGAGCTCAGGCTTCATATTGGATGGGTCGGTAGCTAAAGGTCAGTGATTGGCTCACCACGTCAAGTAGTTGTCAAGCGAATACCAGCTACGATGCACCAACACTGCCTCAACTACTACTGCTAGCTCCACCACCACTGCTACCGTATGGCTTCTGCCACTGCTACGCTGCTGCGGCTGCTCATGACATGACGGATGCTTGAACAACCCCCAAGCCATGTTTTCAGCATCCTTCCGCATGCAGCCTGCGGTTTGGCAGAGCAGCGCACAGGGTCTTCGCTGCTTGAGTCAAAATTCTGACGCAGCGCAAACCCGGCGGAATAGCGGCAGCTTGCCAAGGAAGAAGGGACCTTCGGTCCAAACATCTTCCGCGATGCAGGCTCGTACAGCCAAGACGGCTTAGAGCTCTGAAAATCCTGAACTCCTACAATCGAAGCCGGAATCCTGAAAACGTTTTTCCGAACGCCCGCCAACCCCAAGCAAGCTCCTGACTCTTCTCCACTCGGCACTCACATGCCACCCCCAGCTCCCATGCCACCCCCAGCTCCCGTGCTTCCCGTAGGGATCTCGTTATTCACCTTGAAGTGCGCAATCGTGCAAGCGTACAGCAGGGCAACGTCGGCGCCCTCGGCCACAAAGACCTGCACAAGGCCGCGTGAAAGCAGGTCTCGAGATTGGATTCGGAGTGAAAGCTGAGGAAAGTGTGGGTGCAGGATCCAGACCAGTTCTAGAGGGTCCTGACATGAAAAAAGGCTCCGACACTGAAAATTGCGAAATTGAAGTGCCTTCTACGATTCAGAAATCCCGAGGAACAGCATTCACACACACACACGTGCCAGAACATCCCCCAAAACGTATACGCAACAAGCTGGGAAGGATCGAGACTCTGTCTCTGATGCCGGAGTACCCTAAACCCTAAACCCTAAACCCTAAACCCTAAACCCTAAACCCTAAAGGAGTACCTTTAAAACTCAAGACTCCTGCTTTTGCAAAGTCCCTCAGGATGAAAGTCGCATTGCAAAAAGGAAACAAAAAACGTGACGATGACTGAATACTACTTGGAGGATCATGGGACTTAGTAACTGGGGTTATAAATAAGGTAACTATAATTATAAGCCCAATTAGGGTACTTATAACCTTACTTACTAAGTCCCATGGTCCTCCAAGTACCATCTTTGCCTTGTACTTCCTGCCCTTGACCTTGTTGTGGGCAGGCGCCACTCAAGCAAGTCTGAAAATACCACGAAAGAACTGCAGACCCGCAACCACATGGACATGACCATGAGCACTACGGACAATAGTTGCAACAATTCTCTCAACGTCTTGGGTCTGAAAGCACTTTGGCAGAATGACAGCGTACAAACCGCTATGCGTGTTAAATCAACACGCGAAAACAGCCTGCACGAACTGACTGTGTCGGGCTTCTGCACTATTGGGTTTTCCAGTTGTTGCACGTTTGCGTGTAGAAGCTTGCGACAGCGTGTCCCGTTCTGCCAATATGAAACAACTTTGGGGAGCATGATGTACAAAGAACAGAAGGGCGCACTGTAAATACTTGCTTCTTGGGAATGCTCGCAATAAGATTGCATGCTTGTGAGTACTCCTCTTGCTCCAGAACCGGATGGGCGGCCACGTGCACAAGGACAGCAACGTTGCAACTCCCACTGTTTGGAGCCTGTTTGAAATACGCATGGGCGTCATTCATTACCACTACCCACCCCGCCGCCCCACCAGACTCCCCGAACCCACTCCAGCATCCAGCACTCCACATAAGCTGATGCTGCTGCTGCTGAAGTGCCACGGCCACTAGGACCAGCGGCTAGTACTACTCCGACGGTTACTACAGAGCTATGGCAAAGGCGGCAATAAAGCTGGTTCTGATGGTAAGTCCTACACCCCACTCGACCCACCATGGACTCTAAACACCTCAACCAGACTGCCTGAAGACTGGAGCCGGGCGACTTTTTGACTGGTATCTGGTAGTTGCAGGCCGAGCGGCATCGACCACCATGGCTCCGCCAGCAGAGGACCATACCTACCACTGGCAGGAGAGCCCGTCAAATCCGCCAAACTGAAGCTTGCGGGAAGAGACCAACCTTCACCCCAAGCAGACTTCAAACCCATCCAACCCATCCAAACCACCCCAAACCCGGCCAAGATCCAGTTTAGCTCGCCTTCAAATCCCGTTTACTGGCAAGGCCAGAAGCCGCATCCACTTTTCTGGTGTCAGAACTGGCGCCCAGTAGGGCCCGGAAAGGGCCAGCTGGAACCCGTTGCCCTTTGTTTGTTCCGAGAAATTGGAAGAGAGTGTACGCACAAACGGCGCAACAATTGGGAAACTGCTGCATGAATTCCAGTGCAAAGCACAATGAGCAGCATTTGGGTTCAAAAACATGGCAAGCTGATTTGCAACACAGGGGAGGCCCTTCGAGGGCGCTCCTGCGAATTCGGAGAAGAAGAGGGCCCCTGCAAGTGGAGCGAGCTTCCAGATGCAAAGCACACTGCAAGGACAGAAGGCATGGGGTTCGGGCAGGCAGGGCTTAAGATTCCGTAAAATTGAGGGCTTCCAGCGCCAAGGCAAGCAGCTCTAAGCCGGACCGCTTGGCGGCAAAGACCTAACATGACCTAACATCCAAGCTTTCAGCCTTAACCCAACTTTGCGATGCAAATCTTTCCCCAAAGCACACAGAATGGCCTAAGTCCAGAATCAACACCCTGAATGTTGGCACCCTTCGGAAACAGTCAATGGCCTCAAATTTATTCGGCCGAAGACCGTTCTTCATGTCAACACTGAAATCATCATTAGTCTCGTCGAGCTCGCCGTTCTGCTTAACCTGATTCAGGGTTGAAGGCTTAGGTTTTGGGAGGTATGTCCGTTCTTGTTCACCGCTTCCGTCTTTGCAGCGAATGGTTTTGAGCATGTGCGCTCTTCCAACAGGATGGAACAACGTCTGTGCTCTTTTCATCGGTGAGCATTTGGGCATGTGTAGTCTTCCGTTCGAATGCAATGCAGATGATGCCGATGCTGCTGATGATGATG